GTGATTCTATGATGCTCCCTTTTTTGTGCTTTAACTTTTTGTGGTTTTAGTTTTACAACCATGGCCTAAAAATATGAAAGTTCAAAACTGAATGTTAAGGGTTAACCTCGTCGTGTCTCCTGAGATCCCTCTTCACTCCACACGGGTTGTGTGTCAACCTTTTGTGCAGCATGTCCACATTGTGTGTGTTTCCTCCCCACTGGTCACTTATCTCTCCTGGTGACCAAACACTTGTGATGCCACAGCAATTGTGATCAGTGACCTTTATTCCACTAACTGTGGTCCCTGGGTGCAGAGCTGTGCTCCTGGCTCTCAAGTATGTAGCAACCTTAGGATAAGGAAACAGACAGAATGTCTACTGAAGTTGCTAAGATGCATTATGAGAACAAATCTGTCTGCAAATTTGAGAAAGAAGGCAGGAGTTCCTGTTAGTGTTCCCATTGTTCCTCGAAATGCCAAAATTACTGCCACCTGATACATGTTTACATGCATTAAGTTGTAGAACTCAGTCCCTCCACGCTTCCATGGGCCCACTGGGGGTCTTAGCATGGGTGATGGAGGCAACTGTATCTTTAAAGTTTGTGGTATGTGATTTTGAGTTAGAATCCTAGTTCAAGCCAAAAAACACAATATAAAAAAATAATAATGTAGATTCTGAGTGCTTTGAAAGTTTAACAACCACCAGTCATATAAGAAATTTCTGGAGAATCTATTCCAGCAAGATGAAGCACAAATATTGATAATTGAGGAAAACTTGTATATAAGAAGCAGTGGTTAGCTAAACAAACAGCTCTTATTCTAAGTAGGTGTTTATTTTTGAGATGAATAAAAAGAAAACTGGAATCTGAAATCCTAAAGATGTTAGAACAGTGGTGAGTCTCAAATATTGTTCTTGAACATTTGGTTTTAGTTTTTATATCTGAAAACAACTTTTGCCGACACATGTTCCTTTGCTGTCCCATCTGATGAATGGGCCAGTTAGGGGCTTGAGACATATGAGACCATCTTTCCCTTGGTCAAGGGTCTCACCTTTCATATCAATCAAGTTGCCAACAAAATGAGAACGAGAAATCAGAATGCTAATCAGAATGAGAAAATAAGAAAAACTCTGGAAATTATAAAGAATATTGATTAAAAATACATTTAAAATTTACCAAGAGGCAGCAGTTAAAGATATAGAAGAACAAAGTGCAGATGAAAGGGTGGACTGGTGATCAGTACTGGGCAAAAAGACACAGACCAAGGGCCACCCCCAGAAACACTTATCTACCACAAAAAGTCCCAGAAATGGACAGCAAGAAAGCAATGAAAAATCCTCAGCTCCAATGGATTTGAGTGCAGATGGTAGTTGGAAAGCAATGGAGAACTGCTTTGCACGTATGGAAAATAAATATTTTCAGATCAAGGGCTCACATTGCAATAGTACATCTCTATGTAGCAGAGGGCACATCATTCCATCCTCAGGCCTCTGTTTCTCTTCTGTGAGAAAGGACAAGCACATCACAATGTTCACTACTGAGGGATTCCGGGAAGAGCTGGATGCATCCTGCGTGCCAAGGCAGAGCTCACACCTGTGGGAGTCTTTAGTCATTATCAATTTCAAATGGTAGAAGAGCAATCAAATTCCAGGTAGGATGTCAGATTTTAGTTCTTGTTCTGTGAGTTTTCAATCCTTCAGGAACACAGTTTTCTAGGAAAGTAGATGCACCCTTGGAACAGAGCACAGCCTTCTTGGCTTGCTTCCTGTCTTCATTCAGAGAAAGTGCCCTGTGGGAGGAAATTTCAGTCATGAACTTCTCATGTTCCAAAGAAGAATAGAGCTTACTCCAACCAGAGGAGCAGGTGACGTCTTGCGCTGTGCAGAGTAGAAAGCAGATTTCTTCAGCCAGGGAAAAGTGCCCCAGTGACTCATGAAGACAAAACGGAAGGGCAGAAATGGAGACTGAAGTCATAAGCCAGGCAAATGCCAGGAACCAGGACAATGAGAGGTGGGACAGCAGGTGTGGACGAGTCACTACGGCTGCTCAGGGTCAGTATCCAAGTCATAGGCTTCTGCTGGGGGCCAGCTCCAGGCAGTACAGTGCATGAGTGAGCTGCCCATGGAAAGACAGGAGACATGAATGGAGTCTGTGTCTCCTAGTGTGGGGCACTGATGTGGGGGAGCTTTAAGAGGTGGAAGCTAGTGGAAAGTAGGTTATGAGGAAATAGTAGTCTTGGAAGGAACTAATGAAGGTCACAAGTTCACTAATTTGTTTGAGAACTCGTCCTAAGGGAAATGTCCCTAAATCCCCTTTCCGTGTATGACACACATCACCCTTGCATGTGTTCCTCTTGCGATGCCGTCTCACAAGAGGTTCTCACAAGAGCAGAGCAGATACTAGTGCTGAGCTTGTGGACCTCCAGAACATTGAACCAAATGTTACCTCTTTGCTTCACAAACTACCCAGCAATGGTATTGTATGGTAGCAAAGAAAAATGGACTAAACCAGAGTAAGATATTCATTTCTACAAGATTGGAATAATCCAATCACTTCACTCAATTAAAGAAGAGACAAAACATGATTATAGTCCCTAAGAGCTAAGTGTGAAGTTGGCCTGGAGAAATGAAGTGGGCAGACAGTACCAACGTCAGGATCTGGCAGAGTGAAGAGGAGTGGGCATTGGGGATAGAGGAACCAGGACAAGCTCAGCATGGAGTCTGCTGTGCTTGATGCAGGACTAGCATGAGTCAGCATGTCCTCACAGGAGGGATGCTATACAGGGAGCCTGACTTGAGCCAGTGTGTCCTCACAGGAGGGATGCTATACAGGGAGCTGAGAGAAACCTTCAGGGACAAAGGAACCAGTATAGGACAATTCAGAGAAGAAACCGAGGAAACCTTACTGAAAACACCAAGACATAACAATTCACACTGATGGCAGCCCCGTTCCCCGGAGAGAAGAGGGCCTTCATAGAAAAGGGAAGCTAACTGCATATGCATCTCACTGGTCTCTCTCTCTCTCTCTCTCTCTCTCTCTCTCTCTGTGTGTGTGTGTAGAATAGAAGATTTCGTCCAGAATAGAATAGAAGTTAACGTCCAGTATATATAGATCTTATGGTAATAAACATGTTTGAACCTTTAGTAAATACACTTGAACATGGTTTAATGAGTGACTTTGTCTTGTGAACAGAGAAGCCATAATATAAAATTAGCCATTTTAAGAGGAAAAACTCAGTGGCACTTAGAACATTCACAGAATTGCACAAACATAATTTTTATCCCATTCTGAGCTCTTTCAACCTTGTACCTATCAAGTGGTCACCCTCATTTCTTCACTTGCCTTCTAACTTGAACGCTGTATCCAGTTGTTTTTAGCATATTGTTAGAATAACGTACTCCATCTCAGGTCCAATACATTTACTGCATGATGCTTACTACAGTGTGTGGTTATGGTTGGCTCTCCATAGCTGTCTGTTCTAAAAATATGGGTTCAACCAGACTCAGATTAAAAAACAATCTAAGAAAATTGCATTTGTTATTCTTTTCAATGCTTTATTTTCACAATTCTTTAAAAAAAAATAAGCCCCACTTCACTGACAAATTATAGTAAGTTAAAAAAAAACACCTGTAATTGTACTGAACACATGCAGACAGACATTTTCTTTGTCATTATCTTCTGAATAATATCATATAAAAACTATCTAGCATTTACACTGCATGCTCTAATAAGAAATCCAGAGGTGCCTTGGATACACAGCGGCATAAAAGTAACATGCAGATATACATCACTACTTCATATAAGGGAGTTCAGGACTCTCAGATTTGTTTTTATTTATTTATTTATTTATTTATTTATTTATTTATTTATTTATTTATTTATTTATTTATCTATCCATTCATTCATTCATTCATTCGTTTATCTATCAGATTATTTATTTATTTATTTGACCCACTGCATATTAAAACAACCCTCTGCAGATTCCATGGGCCAGTTTCATTTTGCTGTCATTGATCTATTAAGCTGGTCATGCCTGCCTCTCACTCAGTTGTGAGCTCCCTGAAGGCAAAAGCCATCTCTACTTTCTTCTCTGTTATTCTCCGAGCCCCATATGATGCTTTCCTTGACAACTTTATTTGAGTTTGGAAGACTGGGTAGACTCCACTGATATGAACAGAATGAGAGATTCTGGAAAACATGGAGAGAAAGCAGATGCTGACGCGGCTGGAGACCATCTGACACCACTTTCACGGCTGAAATATGCCACTCCAGTCCCTGTGTTCGAAGTGAATATCCTGGGAACACCGGGGAGTCAGGCAGGTTGGATACCATGTGGTTTCCCAGCTGAAGGGAAGGGAGCAAATGTCTTAACATCCTTCTTTTCTCCTCGTCCCTCCCAATCCAAGCACACACAAGTGAAATTCAGCTCAGTTGTGTGGCTTGTGCTCCATGGCCTTTCTAGACCCCCTGTCCTATCTGGTTTCAGCCCTGAGATAAATCTCTTGGGCATCCTCTTTAATCACGAGCTTCTAGAGGAAAGGCCGGGCTATGGATATGACAGGAACCAGACATCGAGTGCATTTCCAGGGGCTGAGAGAGGGAAGAACTTTCCCTCCAGAATCTCCAGCCAAGGGATTACAGAAAGGCCAAGGGTCATAGAACAGCAGCAGCGGCCAGAGGAGAATTCTGAAGCTTTCTTTAGGACTTTTAGAAAGGCCTGTTTCCAGTCACATAGAAGCTGACCTTGGCTTTCTCCCAGGTGTCTGTGTGCCCTTAGAGAGCCACATGCATTTGTACCTGGTTCTGCTCATTCGGGTTGATTATTGTAAGACATGATTTGCAGAAAGAGAAATAAGCCCCTTGTTTCTATTTCCTGTCTCTAGGCAATAACAAGCGATGTCATTTTCACAGCTTTTATTTCAACCATGATCATCACCTTTTCCACTTGAGAGATTCCCACATCTAAGCAGCAATTGCCATAGTAACCATTATACCCTAAGAACCACTAAGCCCTATGGAATCCATGTCAGATGCCTCTTTGCTTTAGGTACCTGCTTCACTGGCTGCTGTCAAAAGACTGTTAAGAACCTGCTCTATAGTGCTGAGTCCTGCAGGGCTTGGTCCTGGGACCCTGACTGGAGTGGTGGAAGAAATGAACAGATGGAATGAAGAAAGGACAGACACACAGACACATACAGAAAAGGTGAGATGGACACGCACCAACAATAGCAGCCTGGAAAGACCGTTTAATTTTTAGACATCTGAACTGAGAAGGCAGTTTTTTTGTATACAGCTGGATAAGGAGGGGGGCTTCTGATACACAGCAGAAAAAGGAGGCAAGTTTAGCTAACTTCAGTAGGGGATCTCTCTAGGGGAGTAGTCTCCGGCTGCAGTACAGTCCAGGAGGAAGAAGCTGTGGCTGATAGTTTTTGCTCACACTGGTCAATCGTTGGTAAACATTAGTACTTGGACCAGAGGAAGGTTTTGCCATGTCTCTGAGCCTTACCCAGTAAAAGCTTTTCCATTCCCAGGAGTCTGAGGCATTGGAGTCCTCAACATGACTCTTTGTATGCCAACAACACACATCCACTCATGGCTTCATTTGCTCCTCATACTCCAGACATAGACATAGGCTGCATCTATTTGCAAAGTTTGAATTCTATAGCACCATTCAGTTTCACGGAAATGTATGTGGCTGGTTGGGGTGGATAGTAGGGAAGTGTGAATGTGGAATATTTTTTCCAGACTGGGTATTACATTTAGAATAACTCAATATTGATATATAAGTGATAAAATTTGCCCTAAAACACTTTCCACATAACACATATTGCAACTGGCTTGGTGAGCAAGCATATAGAGAGACAATACATGTATCCCTGGTAACCAAGCAAGAGAACCTCAGCCAACAACAGAAGCTGAATTCTCACCTAGTCCCAGGGCGAAGCCTGCCCAATTATACCCCAATAAGGCAAATGCTGAATTGCATACATTTCCTTATCACAATGCATGTGAAGGCAGTCAGAACCAGCTTTGGTCTCTTAGGACTACCCAGTTTTTTAATCATTTTGTTCAGGAATGTTTTGTTAACTTTAACTGATGTTAGATATTTCTTTTACCCTTCCTTGAGCACAGGTAGAACAAGGTTAGTGCTCCTACCTAGAATGATTATATGTAAAGATTATTTTTAAGAGAGAAATTTTGTGACTTCAACAGCTCAAATTTTCTTTCAAGATAAATCTGAGGATGGAGAAATAAAAAACCATGAGACACTTATTGGGCTCTACCAGGTGGTGCCTGCCTCCACAGAATTTAGAAGCCTTTTCTGCATGCTTCACAGAGACCTCTTTTTGCAGCTACCCCTCCATGATTTCAGAAAAAGCAGGAAGAACTGGAGTGCCATTATTTCCTCAAATGCATTAAAATGACTATTTATGTAGTACTTACAATATTGAAGGTATTATTTAAACTGTATGGGAAAATGTATGTGGGTTATAAGCAAATATGTGCTATGCCATGTTAAATAAGGAGCATGAGCATCCTGGGACTTTGCTGTCTGTGGGAGGTCCTGAAACCAATCCCCCATGGGAACCAATGGAGGATTCCATTCTTTGTATGCTCGGACTTTCTGTTTTCATTGTTAGGTTATCTGCTGGAAACACTCCCATGTATCATTAATGTCCTTCTAGATGAGCTCCACATGGGAATTTTTGTGTCATGACTATGTTTAGAGAATGATTAGATTGTAAGAAGCACAAAATAAATATTCATAAACAAATGGAAGACTTGGCACACCACAATCTGAAGCCCAGCTCCAGCCCTGACATTGACCACCAGGGAGATCACCCAAATTCCCTTTCGTAGGGGCAATGGTGGCACCTGATTGTGTATTCAGACTCTATGGGGGCTCTCGGCTGTACACAACACTTCAGCCAGTCTGATTCTGAAAATGCAATAATGGAAACTTGAAGGATTTTCTAAGAAAGGAAACTTTTAGAAAGCATTTCTGCTTAGTTTTTATGTTTTGATTTTTAAGACCAATCTTATATATTTACATTTACATTTATTTATTTTAATTTGGAAGGAATTGTTAACTGATCTTGAAAATACCATTCTTCTGGTACTTGAGAGAGATTGGCTTCAATAGCCATGACATTTGTCTTTCAGTTTGTCAAACTTGGGAAATTAATACAACACACATTGAAATAAGTCATGTTAATGAGTATTTTTAAGTAATTTTATCTATGTTACAAAGCTTGGCTGATTTCTTAGAATGCCAGATGGCATTAAGGGTGGGTTTCCACAGCTCTGTGCTATCCACCTTGCCATCTCTGAGTCTTTGACCAACAGCTCTAATCTAGCTCTTGTGTGAGGGCGGCATCTTTGAAAATGTTTCTAATACATTTTTTTTTCTAGCTGTGTTTAGTTGCTTTTACTCTTTCAAGGTTGAGATGCTGTCAGCTGTTTAGGTGCGTCCATTTTTCATCTACTGCAGACTCTCCAGATGTTATGGACACACATATCTGTGGTAGGTGCACTCTTTGGGGCAGGGACTGATGCCAAGTGTTTAGTCTTGTCACTTCTTACTGTTTTTGCAGCTTTATATTTTATAGCTTTGATTTTTTTAAAAACTGCATTTAAGGGGTTGGAGCAATGGCTCAATGGTTAAAAGTACTGGCTGCTCTTGCAGAGGACCCAGGTTCAATTCCCAGCACCCACATGGCAGCTCACAATTGCCTGTAAATCCAATTCCAGGGGATCTGGTGCCCCATTCTAGCTTCTGCAGGCACCAGGCATGTATGCAGGCAAAATATCAATACCCATAAAATAAATGAGAGGGAGGAGTTGCTTTTGATACTGGTTTCTCATGTCCTGGCTGTGATTTTTTTTGGGGGGGGGTGTATATTCTCTTCCTATAGCTTGGAATTGATGGTTTGGTAAGTTTTCAATTTTGCTGAAAAGAGCCCTTCCAAAACTGGCTGTCAGGGGTTGTGCTCCACACAGGCACTTGATGACACTTGGCACTCAATGACACTTGGCACTTGTGCAGGACAGGCTTTCTATCATCAAGATGAAGCTTGAAAGCATGGCTTGCTGTTATAAGGTACTTAGTTAAAAAGCAAAACATGGACACTTAGAAGCTGCATTTAAAAGATAAAACTGTAGCTTTTTAAAAAAATTATTTATTTGACATACCAGCCAAAGTTTCTCCTCACTCCTTTCCTCACATTCCCTCCCACCACCTCCCTTCTGCCCATCCCACCCCCGAATCCAGCCCTCCTCTGTTTCTGTTCAGAAAGGGGTAGGCCTCTAATGGATATCAATAAAACATGGCATATCAAGTTGCAGAAAGACTAGGCACCTCCCCTTGTATTAAGGCTAGGCAAGGTAGTCCAGTATGAGGAATAGATTCCCAAGATCCAGCCAAATCATTAGGAACAGCCTCTGCTCCCATTTTTAGGCATCCCACAAGTAGACTAAGCTACACAACTGTCACATATATGAAGAGGGCCTAGGTTGGCCCCATGTAGGCTCCCTGGTTGTTGGTTCAGACTTTATGCATTCCTATGAGCCTGGTTAGTTGTTTCTGTGGGTTTTCTTATGATGTGTAAGTAAATTGGTTGTAACTCTTTTGGTTGGGTCCCAGGTTTCAGCACCAACAATGTAAGTAAATTTGTTGCAACAATTCTGGGGAAAGGTGTCCTGACTAGCTGGGGAGTCAGGCAACACCTTGAGCTGCTTAGGACAGCTCTGACTGCTGGAACTGCAAGGAGACAGTTCAGGCCTGGAGGGCAAGGTTTCCTGGACACCTCGAGCTGCTCAGAACAACAGCTCTGCTCTGAAGGTGTCCCAGACAGCTGACAGCTGGAACTGCAAAGAAGCAGCCCAACCTGGAAGGGAAATTTTTCTGACTTCTCAGGAAAGTCAGGCCTGAAACTGCTTCAGCAGGGAAGGGTATCCTGGCTGTTTGGGAAAGTCAAGGTATACCTGGTGTGATGGGGGATGGTCTCCCTGCAGGATATAGCAATCCTGCTACTCTTCTGGAGAGCCACTACAACTGAGCTTTGCTCAGCCCCCACTTAAGGGGTCTTCCTAGCGGAGCTCTGCTTCTCTGGCCTAAGATGTTGCTTCTTTTGCTTTACTCTGCAAAAGGGGAAACCCCTGCAGAAATGTAGCAAGCTCCTCCAGCTCTGAAGAAAAGTGTTATTTTTTTCAGCTCTCGCTCTGTCCACTGAGGGATGTCTCAGTAAGGATCTTCTCTATGCCAGTGAATGAAGATCTTCACACCCAAAACTCTTTTGAGAAAGAGATTTATTTGAGAAGGAGGAGTCCAGTAGAGTAGATTCCTCTACCGGGGTGGAGAGAACAACCCTTTTCTAACTGACCAGGCAGGGTGGTTTACATAGAATGTCTTGGGGGTGGAGTCAACCAGGGGTTGACTTGGGGCTCAGGGTTCTACTGTCCTGCTCTGTGTTTGGTTGGTTTCACAAGTCAATTGGCCAGGGGCAGAGGTGGCTCTGATCTGATTGAGCCAAACTGTGTTTCTTTCTGGCCTGATCTGAGCCATATTTCCTTAGCTCTGGCTCCAGGGCCAGGGTGTGTTTCTTTAGCCAACCCCTTTTCCCTACATGGTGTCCTTGACCCCTCTGGCTCCTACAGTCCTTCCTCCCCGTCTTCATCAGGATCCCCAAGCTTGGCCTAATGTTTAGCTGTGGGTTTCTGTATCTGTTTCCATCAGTTACTGAATGAAGGTTCTCTGGTGACAATTGGGGTAGTCACCAATCTGATTATAGGAGAAGGCCAGTTCAGGATACATATCCACTATTGCTAGGAGTCTTAGCTGGGGTCATCCTTGTAGATTCATGGGAGCTTCCCTGGCACCAGGTTTCTACCTGACCCCCAAATGTGCCCCTTTCCAGTCATTTCTTTCAGTACTCTTCCTCTCTACCCACTCTCAAATCATCCCAAGTGAGGTAACCCAGACCCAGGAAGACAAACGTGGCGTGTACTCATTCATAAGTAGATATTAGCTGTAAGGTAAAGGATGATTAGACCCAGAGAGGCTAGGTAACAAGGAGGGCCCAAGGGACACATGAATCTCCCTGGGAAGGGGAAGTAGAAGAGATCTCCTGGTGTATTTTGGGTGTGCGGGGATGGTAACTTGAGGAGAATTGTATTTTTAAACCTTCCTTGCATTTGTCTCTTGGATTTCCAAATCTATCTAGCACAAATGTAGGGCCATGAGGATTGAGGAGCCTGCCTCAGAATACCGGTTCCAAAATAAAACACAGAATACCATCCTACTCTGAAAATCATGGCTTTGGCAGGCATAAAACCACAAGAGGCATAAGAATGAGCCTATGTTTTTGTTATTAAATGAGTCTATTCAAATTTTCCTTCTGTTACAATGTAACATAGAACTTGATCCTCATATCAGAGAGTTCCTACTGTGCTGACATCTGTTCTTTCTTGCTGTTGCAACATAGCAATGACTTTTTGTTTCATGGTACCATAATTTTACTTGGCTTAGATAAATGGTTGTTGGATAACGTAAGTAAACAGTGGAAAGTAAAATTAATGGACAAGACCAAGCAGAAGAATGAATTGTAAGGATGAAGGGGAATGATTGAGATAATAATACATTCAGAAATACATAAAGAAAAAATAAAGAACATGACCAAGGCTTCCAGGGACACTAAGGTATGTTCACCAGAACAAACCTAAGAATCTATGGGCTATAAGAAGATGCAAGACAAAGTCCAAGGGCCCCATTTATTAAATGAAACCACAGCAGAAAAACACCTAAACCCAGAGAAGGGAGTGACCAGCCAAAGACTAAAGGCACTTAGTTCCCAAGAATTTAAGTAGACACGATAAAAGAAGAATCTTGCCACAACATGTCATAGTTATGGTATAAAAACATAAAGCAAATGAACAATATTAAAGATCGTAAAGGAAAATGCCAACTTATATACAAAGTCAGGAACATAAGAATAACAACAGATCTCTCATAAGCCATAACTGTCAACCAAGATTAATGTATCTAGAAAAGTTTTGTGGTAAAATTAAGAGAGCTAAGCAAAAACCAAAACACTTGTTGATCCCCAAGTCAGCACTCCAGCCAATTCCCAAATGAATACTATGCATAGAGGACCAAGAAAGAAGTCTCACCTACAAGAACAATTTGAGAAAATTCCTTCCACAAGAGGAACAGAAGTGTAGAGGAGGAGTGGGAACGAATCCATCATGTCCACCATGGAATCTAGAGAAAAACCTCCTACCACCACTCCCCAGACCAGCACACTCTCTCATTACACTGTCAATACTGATCCTTAGACTCATCGGTAAGTGGAGCTCTCACCCTTAGTAAAAAATATAGCAGATGCAGACTACTATAGAAAGCCATGACCAGTCAAAATACAGAGAAGCACTGAGCATGGGGTGCCCAGCTTCAGTTGCTGCATCTACACAGCCCCTACACCTCGGGCTTAGGGATCCTCTCAGAAAAAGTGATGGAGAGGTTCTAAGAGCCAGAGGACCAAGACAACTACTATGAGATTACATCATTTATATATGGTAGGGTAGATGCACCCTTGAACTCTCAACAGTATCATCATCTAAGCAAGACTTGAATAGAGTCAACACAAGTTGATATGGCAACATGAATGGGGGAAATCTCACAGACCCACCCCTAGATGAAGAGCTATGTGCAAGTAATGACTATCAATAGAATGAGAATCCATCATCTCGGGGATAAGCTTCTTAATTGGTTAACAGCTACGATATGAATCCTTATACCACTCCTTAGCATAGGCCCAAAAGACTCTGGGTCCTATCATGAGATACTTGCATTTCTGTTTACTGCTGCTGCACTGTACACTAGCTAGGAAGTGGAACCAGCCAAGATATCCATCAATAGATGAATGAAAAAATACAATACATGTACAGAATGTAATTTACTTCAACCATAAAGAAAAATGAAACCATGAATTTGCAGGAAAATGGATGAAAGTTGTATCAAAGAAAGTAATTCATATTTGGAAAGAGTATTCCATATTTTCTTTCACGTGTAGATCGTGGATTTTGATTTTTGTGTGTGTATATATAGAGATGTGCTTCCAGATCTGGAAATTAGAGCATATCATGAGAGGCAGAAGAAGTTCTTAAGGAAGGAGTAGGGAAAGTGAGGTAATGGCATATATGTGACATGAGAGCAGATTGGGGACACAGGGAGAAATAGTCTAGCAGATGGGCAGGGACAGGAGCAGTGAATGGATGGGATAATCAGCAAAGTGTTTGTTTAATATGCTGTAATAAAATCCTTTAATTTATATTCTAATTATTAACATTTTCAAGTCAACTTAATTAACCTTTTGAGCACAGATGCTTTTACCAACTGATTGAAAGGACACAGTTTTTTTTTTTTTTTTTTTTTTTCTGGATGAAAATCCAAGCATGTCCCAGTTTCACACCACAGAATTATAAGCTGGGTCTCTCAGCAGTGTTGTGTAGGGTAGTGTAGGTCTGCCATGTTGGTGGACATGAGCTTTGGCAGCCCTCAGAAGGCAAATTGTGTTTGGAGATCAGGAGAGTCTAGTAACCTCTTCTTAGTGGCTCAGGTGGCAGTGGTACTCTGTATCCAGGATGACAAGGGAAGCTCCTGAGGTTACAACTGTCTTGTCACCTGGTGACTTTCCTAGAAATCTCTCCCTTCTCCCGCACAACATCCATGTTGCTGTCCTGTCACTTCCTGGTCACTACCTTGCTTAAGTGTGTATTCATTTGTCCCCTGTTTGTTTTTCTCACACACTTAATTCTTGGATGCTGGGGAAAGGACTCTTCTAAGGCTTTGCATCCTGAAGCTGTTTTCGAACTTCATGCTTTGAGCTCCTGAACTGCATCAGTGCCGAAGAAAAATTGGCACATGCACTCCCTTGGTCTGAGTAACTCATGTTGGTAGATTTTGGAAAGAGTTGAAAATTCAAGAGAGAGGGAATGGGAGAGGATATGAATTTGAAAAATGGGGAAGGGGAGAAGGATATGAATTTGAAGGAACAGACTGGAAAAATCTGGAAACGTCCCCTGCTCCTACCCTATAAATAGCCATTCCTAGGCATTAGAAGCATGATGATCATAACTCTTAGCCATGCAGAGAGAAAGTGCCAAACAGCACTGTCTTACTTTATGCACCTTCTGGCTCTTAAGTGCTCACTGTTTGGATTTCTGATCTGATAGCTGTATTTAAAGATTGAGCTTTTCTGAAAGCCTGTACTTGTCTGAGCTCTTTCTTCTGCTAAGCACTCTGGCCACTTCATCAGCTCGGAGGAGCCAGACCAGGATGGTGCCTACTCCCAGTACTGCTGTGGCTCTGATCAGCAACATGGATGGCCATGTGACCAAGGCCATGCCAATGCAACTCCAGAGCTCTACATATACAGAAGCATCATGCAGTCAGATTCCAGCGCCCCCTGTTGTCTGGAGGTGTCCTGTGAATGCTTGTTGACCACATCCCCATTGCTCTGCTCTTCTCTTTTTGTTATTTGAATTCTTAGACTGATTACATCCCTCTCCATTCTCAGTCTCCATATTTGAACTCGATTTTCTGCCCCACCCCGACTTTCCAGTTTTATGGTAAGTTAGAAAAAGTTAAAATTATTCTATAAAGGAATAATTCAAAGACTAGACATGGCTTAAATGTAGTCTTGAGACATAACGGAGTTTGGGGCAAAATGTCAATGACATCAGACCTAGCAATTTCTATGATTCCACACTGTAGTGGGAAAGATGAGCTTTTCCAGGGGTCCTGTAACCATCCCTTACTTGGAGCACTGGAGCTAGGAGCACTTGGAGAGAGTGTGGACCCTGGACAGAGGGACTTGGGGAATGGTGGTAGGTAACACCCTATCTTTTCTTTGCTCAGTCTCCACGCTGAGAAGTACTCCAGGGTTCTGAGCACGCGTGTCACAGCTGACTCGGAGTGAAATGAAGAAAACAACCCTGGTGGATTAGCACTGAAGACACTCCTAATTTCCCCAGCAGCAGAAACGGGATGAGCTAAGTCTATGTGTATAAGGTAAGCAAACTCTCACTAATAACAAGCCATAAGCATAATGCTTGCATGCTGCACACATGTGCATGCAGACAGCCCCAAGCGTGTAGGTGCTCACAGACTCAGGCAGACACTACATATACACCCCTGGAGGATGATTATCCCCAATTCCTGTGGGGTTCCAATGCCTCTGTGGACTTGACCTTACAGATGCTGCCCTACCGATGCCTTCCTTTGTGCTACAGTTTAAATCTTGAATGCTCCCCTAGTCTCACGTGTTAAAGACTTGGGTCCCAGCCTATAATGCCACCAGTAGGTAGAAGAACCCAATAGGCAGGGCCTACACATTGTGGGTGCGCCTTTGAAGGAGACATTGGGACTTGGCCCTTCTTGATTGTTTCTTTGATTTCAGTCTCCATGAAATAAACAGCTTTTCCTCTGTGATGTGTTCCTGTCATCATTATGGACTGCTGTACCACAGGTCCAAAGCGACAGACACGGCTGCTTACACCTCAAACCCTCCGGAACACAGTGCCCTAGTAAAACCTTCCTCCTTGTGGGGCATTCATGTCAGCGGTTTGCCACCACGAGGGAAGGAGGACCAGACTTCTCCATACAATGGCCCATCCGTGACAGCTAAGCAGAAGGCAGAGTCTTATTTCCTACTGGTCTATTCTTTGAGAAACAAATTCCCAGGTCTCCACTTGTGACTGTTATAGCTCCACGTGTCTCCCTGGTGGTTCCATTCGTGCTAACACAGTCAATCTGCTTGCTAGGTTACTGTAGCCTTAAAGAGTCCGTAAATTTTTTTGTGGGATATTTACACTCCACTGAACAGCATTTGATGTAAAAGCATCGATAGCGAGCATTTTAGTGGTGTGTTATCTGTGTCGGGGAGGCCTGCAGTGGGGTCAGGGGCTGGACCCCGGGGATATGAAAACGTTTGTTTGAAGGTTACAGAGGACCTGATCTCAGCTGCCCCTTCGCTTGCCTCTCATGCAGCCTCTTCATATTCCTGATTGTGTTGGAACAGGAGACTGGAAGGCAGTCATGCCCTTCTTGTTCTGGTCCACAAGGGATACTCAGCTCTAAGCACTCAGCCAGGGGTCTCAGGATTACCCCAGGAGATTGGCAACAGGCCAGCTGTTTGCCTGATTTGGCTGCAGCCCCAGCCTGTCTTTGAGGTATTTAGAAAGTGCAGCATGAATGCCTCTGGCCCAGCCCCAGCTGTGGGGAAATAAAACGGACCACTTCTTACAAACCAATTCTCAGTGTCAAGTTCAATGTTACTCATGTGGCCCTGACCCGAGAGCGTGTCCTCACATGTAGACCATCACTGACACAACTGCAGGACAATTAGAGGTGTGACTTCTTGGAAACTTGAAGGCTCTGGGGCATCACAGTCCAGAGGACACAGAACAACCAGAGAGAGCATTCCCACAGTCCTCTGGGATACTACAGTCCAGAGGACACAGGGCAACCAGAGAAATCATTTCCACAATCCTCTGTGATACTACAGTCCAGAGGACACAGAACAACCAGAGAGAGCATTCCCACAATCCTCTGGGATACTACAGTCCAGAGGACACAGGGCGACCAGAGAAATTATTCTCACAATCCTCTGGGATACTACAGTCCAGAGGACACAGGGCGACCAGAGAAATTATTCCCACAATCCTCTGTGATACTACAGTCCAGAGGACACAGGATGACCAGAGGGACCAGGGTCACCAGTGTTGGAAGACCAAATGGTGATGCATTAAATATCTTAGGGCTTATTTGAAGATATGACTTATGAGCAGGGCAGCCTCACAGAGTGCTTCAGCCTCCAATGGAGCTGGCTTACAGGGAGTAGAGGAAGAGGGAAGACTCTATTTGATTGGTTAAGGTGTGAGCATTTGCTGTGTTTGTCTTACACAGGCAGAGATTTCAAGACATCACTGTTAATGTCTGATATTCTGCTTATGATAGAGCTTCATTTCCAACTCTTTAAAAATGTTCCTTGAGCCTTGGAGGGAGTAAATAGATTCCCTACTTGTAGATAAATAACTCAGTGGTTATTTCTCCTCAGCACTGATCATTTGTGAGTGTCTGTAGTCACCATTGCCCACTGCACAATGAAACTTTTCTGTTCAATGCTGAAAGCAGCACTGATCTATGTCATCAACGTAACTATTTAGAAGGGAATTTGATGAACACACCATGTCAGTTTAGGAAAACAATAGCAGTAGCTTCACCACTAGGGCCCATGACCTCTCTAGCCATAAGCTAGGTTTATGGAACCAGTTGTGAATTCTTTCTTGTGGATCAGGCGTTAAATACAGTTAGAAAATGTTTGGTTGCCCCGATAACAGACCTGCCACTACTGCACTGACGGACACTGAATTAAAGTTATTTTTAGTCTACATGTAATTCTCACTTTGAAACCGTGTATAGACTATTTTTTGTACTTTAAAATGGATATTTAATCGTTTCTTGATTTTATTGAACAATAATTATAAATTAAACTTGTTCAAGTCTTGTGAAAATTTGTGGATATTTTCTTGTGAGAGTTTATGGATATATTATTTTGTAATTAATTTCACATTCATGTACCCAAACACTCTTCAGGACTGTAGTAAACACTACTTATATATTCATAAAAACAAATTCATTGATCACTTTATTAAAAATTTCTAAACCTGAGCAGAAAAAAACACATTAACATTTGCTATGATTGAACTACTTTTAAAGGGTTCTGAATATTTCTAGAGAGTTTTTTTTTATTTTCTTCTAGTGTGCTTAGTGCAAGCAAGTTAATTATTTTATATGTTATAAGTCATATTAGATGGAATTTGTGCTAATATTATATTTTAAAACGTTTGCAATTAAATTCATTTTTGTTCATTTTATTGTTGCTGCTGCATTTTTAATGTCTTATTTTTAAAGAATTTTAGTCACTGGAAGTTGCAAATATAGTACATTTCACCCAGTTTCCTATAGAGATCACAGCATATTTAATCAAGATTAGAAAAGAAATGTGTGTGTTTACAGTTTTCGTCTATGTCATTCTATCCATGTGTAGATTCATGAAACCACCAGGTTCAAGGTGAGAGTTAGCTTATCACCATAAACATCATTCTCATGCCATCTCCAACAGCTGACGACTACGTCTGCTTCCACTTCAGCATAAATATGAAATCACACAGCATGTATTTTTATTGTCTTTTTCTCATAAACCCCCTGAGATTTATCTGAATGGTATATATTAACAGCTCATTGTTTTCTATTACTGAATAGCTTTCTGCCCTTTGGGGGATTCAAGAATGTATTCATTTGGGTTTTTTAATTTATTATTATTATTATTATTATTATTATTATTATTATTATTTACATGTATTTGTGTGTGTGCATGTCCATGGAGAGCAGAAGAGGGTGTCACACTCCCGGAGTTGGACTTAAGAGTGGGTTGTGAATCATCTGTGAAGCCTTCCACTATCTGTTGTGATGGATAGAACATACAAGGATTTTTTTAATGAATTGTATATTCATGTTTAACCAATAGTTTTGTTTTTAATAAATCATAGATATTGTATTTTTCCAACTGATTTTTATGCATTAGCACGTATTATAATATGTTTTTTTCTCATTGGTTTATTAATATGATGGATTATATGGGTTTGTTTTTTAATATTTCACAAGCTTGCTTTTCTGGGTAAAGTGCATTCTTGGCCATGGCATATAACATTTTTTTAATCTATTACTTAATTCTCTTCATTTATATTTTGAAAATGTTTGCCTCCATATTGGCCTGAAGATTTTCATTGTTCACTATCTGTGTGATGTTGTTGTCAAGATCATTCTTGATTTCATTTTGTTAAGATTTTATCATGTCATATATTCCCATCTCTTTACTTTCAGGTTGACTATCTATGTTGAAGTTAAGGTAGTGAAATTTTGAAGATAACTGAAGATGGATCATAGTTTTTGTTTAATCTACTTGCTAACATCTGTTTTTGTTTGGCATATTGAAACAATTTATGTTTACAATAATTATGAACATATTCTATCCATAGATGAACTGATAATCTATTTTATCTTGTTTTCTCACTTAAAAATGCTTTTTCTTCATTTTAAAATATTTTTGAAATTATAATATAATTACATCATTTCCCCCTTCCCTCTTCTCTCTCCAAGCCCTACCATACACCCCCCTTGCTTTCTTTCAAATTCATGGCCTGTTTTTCTTCAATTATTGTCACATATGTATATGTGTATATATTCTTAAATACCTACATACAAGGCATGCTTTTAATTCTCTATGTGTTTACTTCCTGATTTGAACATATTTCTGAATTACATCAAGATGTAGCTACATTGTTTTTAAGAGTTCTGTCTTGTACATGGCACTGTTAGTAATTGCTTAGACATGACATCATGTATACAACACACACACACACACACACACACACACACACACACACACACACACACACTATGGCTTTCCTCCTTCCATGCCCCCACCTCTGTTCACAGTGTGATTGTCTTGTTTCCTCTGTGTACACTGAGAGCATTAGGATTCTTACATATCTTGTTTCTACTGTCAAACATAATTTAAGAACTCTGAGGTAAGAAGGAAAGACTATCTGTGGGTGCCTTCATCTGTTCTTATTTCCTGAAAGAGATTTTATTACGTGTAGAATCCCTGGATGGTAATTATTTTCTTTTAGTACTTGAAAAACCATGTCACTTGACTCTGGCTCCCTGGCGTTCTGAGGAGAGTCTGTGTGGGGCTGAACTTCTCACAGGTCAGTTGCTCTTCTGGCTGCTTTTGAGTATGACTGTCTTTAGCTTTGAACATTTCGAGGATAATGTAAATTCAGTGTTACTTTTTTTAAATTCCATTTTGGATTTGTTCAACTTTTAGATTATGTAAGTTTAGATCGTTCCCCAAGTTTGGAAAACTCCAAGCCATCAGTTTATATACATTTTCCTCTCTGCAGTTCAGCTTGGATAGTTTCTATTTTGAATTCTTTCATTTCTTTCTGCATCTTGTTCATTCAATCTCTGTTTCTAGTTTTGCACATTTTTAAATAGTAAAGTTTCTGTTTTGTTCCTCCCAATGTATTTTTTTGCTGAGATTACATTTTTTAATTTGTTTCAAGTATTTTTACAATTACTCACTGAAGAATTTTCATAACGGCTGCTTTAAAATCCTGGGAGGCTATTGCAACATCTGTGATCTCTCCTTCCCACTTGTTGACTGCCTTTTCTCATGGACATTGAAGTCTTCTTAGTCTTAAAGCATTTAAGTGATCCCTAGGCACTTCAGACACTATGCTTTGAGGCTCTGGGTACTAACCTGATTTTACCTTTTAGCTAGTTTCTTCTGACAGCATCCATCTTCAGATGGACAGATGCCCGTTCATTACTGTCCACTCATGTGCCCACTGACACTTTGGAGAGTCTGCGAGGAGGTGGGGACACACCATCGATGCTTGCCAAAGGTGAAATCCCAGTCTTCCCTTTCATCTTCTCTGCTGTTTCCTTGAGTGAGGTTGGAGCAACCTCATGGCACTTTGGAAAGAATGATAATATAGACTTCCCATTTAGCCCTTGCTGCTGGGAGGAAGATGGGTGCAGCTTTCTTCCATGGACTTCTGCCAGAACACAGTGCTCCATTCTTGTTCCCCAGACTAGAAAAAACAGGATTTTCTTTCCT